TATTATATGTTATGTTGTCAGTAATGATTTTGAAGATTTTTGACTCGTTAACACCGCTGGATCAAATGTTATTAAAATGCGCGTCGGTGTTGGGAGAAATTATTAATAGAAGCATGCTACAGTACCTAATGGAAGATAAATCTATAAGGGAAATTGGACTCGGTAAAAAGATACCTAGCAATAAATGCAAATATTTGCAATAAACAATCCTTTAATTTTAAATAATTTTTTTAATTTTTTTAAATAATTACTTAATTTTGTTTTATACGATTAAATACTGTTTAAAGCAATATTTATTGTTACTGTAGCCGTCAAGAAACTCTTCGAGATTCGAATCTTTGGATGCGCGCGGGGCGATTTTACTACGAGCGGCAGACCGCTGGTATTCTACAGAAATATAAGGAAACCTAGTCTCGAGGCAGAAACTGCGTGCGAATGTGTGGATCTTATGATACCAGGTATAATAAAGCAAACATTCAAATGGTAAAATTCTATATGGCTCATAATAAAACTTTATTTAGAGGAACTAACGGACTTGCCGCGGCACGCGTCTTGCGGTCTGATGCATTTCAAAATGTCGATGTTCCGCGAAACTACTTATAGGTAGTGAATGATTTTAATATTTGGATAAATCATAATGATAGAGTAATTAAGATATAATATTTTAAATATTCTGCATAAAATTTTACTGGACCTAATGCTTCAAATATTAATAAAATTAATTGTATCTTTTTATATTTATAAAGATCGCTCACGGAAACTCAAAAAATGGAATTACACAGCAAGGCATTAAAATATCTTCGGCAACATACCAAACGATGTATGGCTTGTGGCGAGATACAATTTACAAGATTGTTAGGAAAAACGGCCGCGCAAGAAACTAGAAGAACAAAATTAACTGTCGACGTCGCCGAAATGCATCAACTTGAAGAAGCAACTTACACTCTCAAAGAAGAGACAGAAAACGGTATTATATACAATCTGCAATCAGTCTTGAACTCAGTTTGGATATGAATTGAATTAATACATTATACATGCGCACACACACATACACACACACACGCTTAAGCTATTTTAATAGATATGCAGCAATTTTAAAATAAATGAAGATATATATTGTAATAATTTTGTAATAATATATTGTCACCAGATATGGAACAGGTAACAGAGAGAACACCGATTTGCCTCAATATTTTTCAAAAAGTCAGAAAACCCACCAAGACCTTTTCTAACGTTGACTTCGCCAACTGTCAATGCCATCTTATTTTAACAACTGTCTACGCTCAGATGTTGGAACATTGTCTAGGAATCGGTAAGTCAACGTAAATCAATATCGGCGTGCATAGTGAATATTATATATTTTTTCTATTCTCTTTTTTTAATTTTTAAATTATGAAACATTTTATATTCTCTATTCTAGGAAAACAAGATATGATTTTGACGGCAATTTTGGAGTTTGTGGAGATTTGTTTAGCGAGTAACAACGTACCTCAAGCTCGCAGACTTCTGAGTGACGCTGAAGCTCTGCTTCAACAAGTAAGCAAGACGGACATAAAAGAACAAAAATAGTAAAATAGTTCAAAAAGATAATGTTAATCGTGATCTCTTTAACGGTAGATGTTCGAGACTAACGAGGAGAAATCGATAGTCTTGCTTTTTCTCACCGCAAAAATCCAGACACTTCAAGGTAAATGCCATTTGGAAAGCGGATTACTTTCCGAAGCAAGCAAGAAGCTGAACGAGGCAATGACCAGTCTGGGCTACAATTTTCCGCGCCGTAAATTCACAATCGATTTGAAGTCGACGATTCAACTCGAACTGCTAAGATGGAGATTGGTCTGTCCCAAGCGTTGGAAAATTGACACTACCGATGAATTCACTACGAATTATATCGAGCAACTGGCTAATTGCTTGGCAGAGATGTTTAACGTATTTAGAGTAAGGATAATTATTCGGCAACGATTTTTTAATAGTGATTGTTCAAGTCTACATGATCATAAATTGTCTTTTGCGATAACTCGCTCAGTGTCTTTTATGAAATAATAAGCTTCATAGTTATTGTGACTTGCACAATTTCGTAAATATTTGTTTTTATATTGAATTTTGAAGTTCAATAATTGCTGTTTATTATAATTCAAATTTCGAAATTTCAGGGAACGAAGGAAATGAAGAAACGTGCACGACTAGCAGCCATCTGGGGCTTAAATGCTGCGCTGGATGCATCGAATGATTTTTTCACGCTCTGCACTTCGTTCACGAATATGATGATCACTGCGCATGTCTACCAAACCAAGTGCTATGCCAGATAAAATTATTTAAAACCACAAAAAGTTTAATGAAAACAATTGATTAATAATTTCTGCATATGAAATTCATTACACGCCATTTGTAACGTTATTAAATATTATCTTCTTTCCACAAGGACATTTGTTACATTGTTTGATTATTTTTGAGCAGGTCAATCGTTCCTTATTTGGAAAAACAGGCTCTCAGTATTTGTGCAAAGAAAGGAGATTTGCTCGAGTTTCAAGAGCTCAAAGCCATTGCCGAACTTTATGCGGGAGTATTTTTCTCGCGATGGTTGAGAGGAGAGATCAGCAAAGCAATCAGAATCGGCTTTATCACGATGAGAATGGCGCAAACTATGGATTCCGTGTTTCTTAAGTTGCTCATACTACCGAGATTAACGCACTTGCTCATGATCTCGTGCCGTCATTCGGAAGTCGTCACTTTGCTGAGAGAATTAGGTAAGCTTTCCGAATGAAAAAAGAAAAGGATAGGTTTTAACAAATCTTAATGATCTTATTAATGAATCTCATATTTGGCGAATATGATAAATTACATAACAGATCAAGCAAGTTGATGTTTTAATTACATATAGGAATACTTATGTTCTAAAATTGTATATACAGAATTCGCATCACGAAACAATTTGGATAAATCGGGTCGTACTTGGTACTACGCCACGTGCGCTGATGTGCAACTCGACACCGGTCTCACAGTTCTCTCGTTTCAAAATTGCGACGAATATTATCTTCAGGAAGGAGAGACTATAGTTAGCCTACACGATCCCGAAGCGGAAAGACGATATTTTACCTCCATGTGGTTGTGGTAAATACGAAAAGCTTCGCTTTATGTCGAATTAGAATTAACAGTTTCGAAAATATATTATTATTGTAAAAATGAAATTTTGGATTTTTGTTCTAATATGCGTTGTCGAAGGTGCGTCAGAACGCAGCAGTGGGAAGCTATGAAAGTTTGGAGCAGCAGAAACGTGACGGCCGAGAGTGTGGTGGACGAGCATAAGGTGGCAGCGACGATTACCGCGTTGAAGAAAATTGAGGGATTGCTAATTTTGTACGGTAATAAAGTGGTTGAGTATTTGAATGTTACGCAATATGTATGTATACATACATGTATAAAATTATTACCAAAGTAAAATTGCAATTTTACAGTAAGGGAAGTTACTAACAGGAACATAAACGCATTGAGTACGCTAACGGAAATTAAGCATGAATTCAGGCATATCAAGAATATGACAAAGGTCGTAAAAATTGCAATTCCCAGGTATAAAAAATTGATTATTGTTAATAATATTTTATTATATATAATAATTATATATAATTTATTATAATTTAAAGTAGCTCGCACAAAATAATTTTGCATATTGTAAATATTGTAAAGTAATTTCAATGATATTATAACTTAAAGTTATTTTGATAGAACATTAGAAAATTTTGATATTTGCATTTTATTTGAACTTTTTAAAGAATTATTCTAAAGAACCGAAATGTTCGTAGGTATATGTTGATGAAAGCTTATTATTATATGATACAGTCGCGAAAAAGTGCTGCAATAAGTATGCTACAAAAAACGAAAAAATTGTCTATAAAAGTTGACAATAGAATGATCTATGCGTGGGCAAATCATTGTCAGCAGGTACGAGAAAATTTATTTTTATTGTGATTTCACATAATTACGATATTTAAATTTTGCCGTATTACATTCAGGCTTGGCTGGGTGCCATATCTCCCATACAGGAGGGCTTATGGATAGAAAAGACTATGAAGCTACATGATAAATGGGATGAAGTAAATGCCAACGATTCAACGATGGTTCCTTTTACACTTCCATTACCAAAATATATGTTATAAATATTTGTAATTTTAATGCATAATAAGTATGTATATGTTTACAGTAATATAAATAGTAATAAATTTTTAATTAAATGCAATGTTAATGCGCTTCTAATCTTCTATAAATCTTTCTTTATGCATGGCGCATGTGATTAATCGCATAAATTAAATCTCATAAAAATTCACGATTCGAAATTTTCATGATTACTAATGACACTCACTAGAACTTAAACATAATTAGAATATTGATATGACAGATATAAAATATTATACTGAATGAGGATAATTTACTGCATTTTTTCAATATTTAATCATATATTTTTTAAATTTACTAATTAAACTTAGATATTTCTTAAAGTTGAGTTAGAAATATAT